ATGTGTGTCTGTGTGTCCGAGTGCGCGTCTGTCACGGTTTTTTCATCTCAAGACCTACAAAAGCTACACAGCTGAAACTTTGGGAACTTAATCTATATGCACGTACGGGCCCCAATCCCCAAAATTGGAGCCATTACCCGCGTGGCACCCGCGTACTGGCCCGCCAAAGTTTTTTTCGGGTAAGTTCATAACTTGGGGATCTGAGAAGCTAGAGGACTGTAATTTTAAGAGGACATACCCGTCCAAATACGTTTCATTCAGCTTAAACCCAACTCTCGGGTATGCGTGGTAAACATGCACGAGCCCGTGAAAATTTTTTTTCAGTAAGTTGCTAACCCAGGAGTCAGGGAAGCTAGAAAGCTAAAATTTTAAGGGAGTGCTTTCTGACGGTTCTGGCGACCAGTCTTAATTTGTTTAGCTAAAAGCATTTCCGAAAAAGCCGGTGCCGGTAGCAACAAAAACTGCGGGTAACTATGCAAAAAACGCATCTTCGCGCGGGCAGCCCGTGCGTTGGCCAATTATGTTTTAAACGAAAATCCCAACCAAAGCTCGGTGCGAGCCAAAAATGTCACAGTTACAAGTACCAATCCAATCAAGTCAGGATTAGGAGTCAAATTAGTCTATAACAATGTAATGCAAAATCAAACTTTCACCTTCGGGCCTTAGAACATATGCATATTCAGCAATCAGTGTTGGTGTGATGATACGCCATTTGTGCTTGGCCTTTTTGAAATGCGGATCAGGAAAAAGGAAAAACATCTTTGTGAGTTGATGTCGATGAAAATAGTTCGGCAAATATTTCATAGCGTTTGTTCTCAAGCATGCTACGTTGCAATACTTTCCTGATTCCTTTGCGCGCAATGCACGAATTCTATCCTTGACATAATCGCTAACCTGAAAACAGAACCAATATAAGTAGCAACGCGCATCAGACTAGCCGGTGCGATCATGCGTTTTGTGCAATTCGGCCCATAGAACGACTACGTATTAATGATTTTCGCTGCTATGTACTTTAGTCTATACAAAAACAGTTCAAACATTGGAAAACGATTAAAAATTTTACGCACCAGCGCATGAAAGCTGAATTCGAAACCTTGAAGGGTGAATATCTGCCCGTGATTCCCGAGTTAATAGCTTACCCGCCAAAATTTTCACGAGGCCCTAGGTAATACTCAAGAGCGAGGGAACGCTGAATTTGAATGAGCAAGGTTGAGCGTGGGCAGGGGGGTCATTGCCCTAAAATTTCAGTCCCCTAGACTCCGTGGTTCCCGAGATATTAATTTACCCGTAAAAAACTTTCACGAGGCCACGCGTGTCACCTGCGGGTACGGGGAAGCTGAATTTAAATTTGTGGAGTCACACGTGCGTAGGGTACGTTCCCCTAAATTTTCAGCTTCCTAGCTTTTGTGGTTCTCGAGCTGAAAGTTGCGGACAAGTTGCTGCGGACACACACACACAAAGACAACCAGCGACAATATGCGTTTTGTACTGCTGTTACACAGCATAAAACGCATATTGATCAGCAATTTCTTCATCTCAGCCACAGGTGCAAAAAAATCGGCTCCTAAACTGACTAAATCTCCACTATCCAATAATACTTGCACTTCTTTCCACAACAATGTATAATTCCATTTCACATTTACTTTCAATCTATTAAAGCAAAACTAATCGATTCCCCAAAATTCGTAAATTCTCTAAAGTTCGAAATTTTTCAACTAATAAATTTTCTAAAACAATTCGTAAATTTAAAATTTTCAATTTTCTAAAATTCGAAATTGTAAATTCGCCCGGACTTTATCTGAATTTGAATATGAAGATAAAAGCCACGCGAAAACCGCTTTAAAGTCATTTTAAGTCTTCCGAATTCATGAGTACGTGATCCAATTCGATTAAAAAGTCCGAACAGCAAAAAAAAATGTACAACCCTAACCAAACCACACAGAGCTTATAACCCATCCCCAAGCTAACTTGGTCGTATTTTTAGAGCATGAAATAAAAAACCAACTTTAACCCTAATCTCTAATCCGAGCATAAGCACTTCCGGATACAATGGCGACAATTTAATTAACAAGCCACCA